TATTTACCATCATCATCATAATTGCTCGAATGCTGCTGATAGCCCAGTATCACATACATGTACATGTACGTACAATCTATATAGCGCCCTGTATTATGTACGATTTGGGGGTATTTCTCGTTTTAATACAACACAACACAACACAACACAACACAACACAACACAACACAATACAACACAACACAACACAACACAACACAACACAACACAACACAACACAACACAACACAACACAATACAACACAATACAACACAACACAATACAACACAACACAACACAACACAACACAACACAGCACAGCACAACACAGCACAACACAACAACAAAAACCTTATGACAGTCATCATTAGCCTTCGTGCCTGCATAAAGATATTCTAAAGTCGTAAGGATGTTGTGATCAGTCAGATACAATATCGAATATGGCCACAGGATCTCTGCACTTCCGTCCGAACGCCGGTCAGGATGTGCAGATGACCCGGAGATGACACTGTTCGATGACACAGAACATGCTGGCGGAGGTCCAAAATACAATGTTGAAACTTGTTGATTCGCAATTTCTAGCTCTTGACGTTTTAAACCCTTGTCCTGTGGGGCCCATATATACTAGTATATGTTTTGCACATACAGCCCTGTATATGTACGATTGGGGGTATTTCTCGTGCAACGCATCACATCATAGCAAAAACAGCGATTGCGGAAGTAACTACGCCACACGGGTTAAAAAAAGTCAAGGGTCTGTGACCTGATAAAGACTTATTAAAATCATTATAGTAGTTGTTACTAGTAATTTCTTAGTAGTTTCTTCTGTTTCTGCAATTAGCCCTCGGGCATGAATTTGAAATAAAACAATTATTATTATTATTATCATTATTATTATTATTTGAAAATATTGTGTCAAAATTGCCAGCAGAACAAGGGTTTAATTCTAAAGCTCTCGCACAGATTGCGCTTGAACGATGCCCTCCACAGAAATGATCTACCCTGCCCCGAACACGGAATAACTTACTGCGTTCATAAGTACGCAATAAGGGAACGTGATATGATGGTTATTTGATGAAGTTTGACAAGGTGGATGGCAGAACGTGCCCTACCCGACAGCCTGGCGTACGTCTGATTCAATATCTGCTCGTAAATGTGACATAATACAGGGCTCAGGGTGACCCGTACAGGCCCAGTCACACTGCGCCGGCGGGGAAATACATTCAATCACGGAAGTTCGACAGTTTCTGACGTCTGTTGTGTTATCGTGTCGCCAGTGGCAAATATCTGTAGTACCCAGATTTGCCAGTTTCTTGTGTCAGTGTAAACAGTTAGAACTGGCGGTATTTTACACTACTCTCCAAGCAGAGGTTTGGGTTATTTCTTGCTTCGCTTTTAGCCTTTTTATGGGGGTTTCTTTTTTTGCAATGAAATTTTTCATGTTGGGTTGGGTGAAAAAAGTTCCAATGCAAAAAAGAAACCCCGATAAAAAAGCCTAAAAACACGCCAAGAATAACCCAAAACCCAAACCTCTGCTTGGAGAGTAATTTTACACTGACCTCAAAACACGCTTTCAGTGTGGGGAAAACAGATAGCGGACAGTTTGTGTTGGCAAACCACACTTTACAGTTGAAAGAGGAGTATATTTCCATTGTAAGAATACTACATGCTTTTCTAACGTTACCTAAGGCCAGAGCGAAAGTAGCACACCAGTCTCCGATTTCGCTCACAAATTGCGTATCCAAAATTAGTTTATCATATCATCAAATGTGATAAAAATTGGCTGCTTCATATTCGTCTTGCCAATTATATTCAATTCGTGCATGTTTCAGCCAGAAACATGCACGAAAAACATATTAACCATAACGAATTCGATGTCTGGAAAAGGTTTCCCATCAAAATTTGATAATTTTTTCATGATCGAGCACCCAACAGAAAAGACTGGGAGACTAGATCATGCAGAAAACAGCAAAGCCCCCCCCCCCCACACACTTGTACATGTATGTACTGTATCATACTACTGTAGTCATGGTAGTACATTTTTGTAGTACTTCATAAAACACCCACTGCATTGGAGAAACAGTTGCTGATGGATAAACCTGACTGAGAACTTCTACTCTACCCTTTCTCACGGTGAAACACCCTACACTAACCTTACAAGGGACTAACACATGTACAATGGATAGAACCAGATCAAGTTGACGAACATATGAGGCTACACCCAGTAGTATATAACTACAGAGCCCTAGATCATCCTATGCGACCTGAGATGACTGTTGGCTGAAGCCAAGACTCAAGAGCGACCCAAACTGGAAAATATTCCTACCCGGCTTGAAGGAATCTGCATCAATCTACATCTACATCTTACCATACTACAGAGTGTAAAATGAACAATCCCTATGAGTATGACTTCTAGTATCTGTATTTCATATCAAGCCTGCGTACTTCAGAGGCACTTGCTACTGTAATGTCAATGTTGTATATTATGTTTCTTACATTCAACAAACAAGTCTACGTATCTGACATTGATTAGATATCCGTACCTGACCTCTATGGATACAAGCCGACTCTATACGTACGTTAGGCCACAGCAAGTAATTTTTATGGATGACATCAGCGCGCGCATTAATTTTCGCCCGATTTTGGAAAAAAAAAAAGGATATTTTGTTGTCCTCTGACAGTGGCAAACATGCCGAAAATGGGCAAAGATGTCTGTTGCCATGCTGGGAGGTGGATGACAGAGAGGAGACAAGACAAGGCTCTGGTTTAATGTTTTGTTTCTTACTTTGATGCAGTGATATGTGATGCTGGCTGTGTATATGTGATGTTCCCACTGAATCAAAAGCATTTGTTGATTGAGTCAAAATTTTTAAATGTAGGAACCTTGTTTTTTTCGGCCTGCCTTGTTTTTTTTTCGCCCGCTCGCATTAGATTTGGAGCCTGCGGCGGATGTCATCCATGAAATTTACTTGCTGTGGCCTTAAGATAATATACAGAACGTGTTCTAACACTTGTTTTGTTCCTAAAGAGATGAACCTTAAAACCTAGACTATACAAAAGACGTTGTCGTATAGTAGTTTCTAAACTCTGACACCTAACCCCCACGTTTCAATACGCTATAGAAAAGAGCTATGATAAAATACCACATATCAAATGTCCAGGGCATGCCCCCCTCCCCAACTTGTACTTGACCTCGTCCAAGGTTTAAGTCATTCGTTCGTGTGACCCAGAGATCGTAGATACGAGATTGTAAAAGTCGGCTACGTCAAAACTAAGGCACAAACTTCTCAAGACTTTGCGTTTTAGTCGCCTATGGCCTTCTTTACAAAGGCAACTTGTTCCACCGAACTTCTACGTGTTTTATCATTTATGGCTACTTTTTATGAGTAACATAATTAGTAAACTAAAAATACATAAATTTATTTAGAGCAAAGCCACACGCGCAATAACTCTTGCGTACGTAGCTCATTCAAGCATACCAGACGACGTATGATACTTTCAAGCACCTGACTTTCATCGCCCCCTACGGTATGCTATAATGGCGACCCACTGTGTTATTTCAATAGACGTCTTCACTAATATTTAATCTGAGGAAATACAGATACAAGACACGGGCCATCATTTCGGGACGTGCCCTGCCCTGCCTTCTATAGTGGGGGATCGCGCATAAGCTTCTTAATTTACCGTAACGTTAACATTTACTCAGCAGTGTCTGGCAGGCCAAAATTCCTGTCGAGTCGCGAAAACCAAATACGGACAGCCCGGTCCGGATCCGTCACAATTTGTCTTCCTCAGGACAACAGGAGTTATCGATGTCGCACTGGAGACCGACCACTGGGAGAGCGATGCCGAGTGGTTATTTTTACCCGCCTTGTCATGTTTTGAAAGCTTAGACGGCCTTGATAACTGACTTTTGACCCGCAAATTAAACTTACGTGTGCGCTAGCCGGCTTGCCCGGCCAGAAAAAAGAAAACAGAGCTGCAGAAGTCGTTCCAAAGCGGGTTTAATAAAATCCAGACCCTCTGGGGAAACGGAGCGTGATTGGCCTGCAGAAAGCACGGTTGTGCGCTATTTTACTACGGCGTATCGTCTGATTTGATTGACGTTTCTATTGACCGGCTTGGCGTGTGGCTCTGGGAGGGGGCCGCACAGATTTGTTAAAATCTCCAAGCAGATCCTAGGATGGTAAAAAGACAGTATCAAATGGGCCAGGCAGTATCCATTGGCCAGAGAGGGGGTCCATGCACGACCCAAGGTGGTGTGGGTAGCGACAATAAAACGGGGTATATATAAGAAGGTAACGATCTTCCCCCATCAACCTCTGCTTGTAGAGTACACAGATTTAGCCGGCCCGATTTTATGACCCAGTCCGCCAAGTGCTCTGGCCTGATCTTTGAATCGCACGTTATAGGTGCAAAGGTCGGCTTTTCTGAATTCCGCCGAAGCTTGGCATTCGGATAGCCTCTACTAGCACCGCGGATCGTTGGAATAATAGTAGAAATTGGCCGAAATAAGGGATAGTATACAGGGGAGTTAGCCGGTCAGAGAGGATCCAATCCGTGGTTCGCATATTGGATCCTCTCTGGCCGGCTAACTCCTTATTTCGGGCAAATTCTACTATTTTTCCAGCGATTCGCGGTGCTGGTAGAGGCTAGCATTCGGACACACAACTTAGTACAAAACCTGACAACAATTCGAGCCCTTCGGACGCCACATCTGAGAACGTAGACGTGTTTTTGTGGCAAGCCAGCCAATTCCTTTCCCGGCCGGGCCGTGCGTCGTCTGCTAAAGGCGCGAAGGATGTTTGACTTCCCCCAACTCGACCCCGTTTCTCCCAGCAGCCGGCCGCCGGTATGCCAGTTATCACAGGAATCCCCCTTCAACTGCTACTCACCCTCTCTCTCTCACTCTCTCTCTAACATCCTAACAACCCAACTCAGCAAAATTCTACTGCCTATCCACTACTCTATATACTGAATGATAATTATTTCCTATATATAGGCCCGCCGGCGCACGTACCTGGTATCGCGGGTAAAGGCTGCCTGCCCGGTCGGGGTTTGCTGTACTCCTTGAACACACTGAGCAGCGCGTTGTGCAGCTCCACGAACTCGTAATAATTCCGCCACACCACGTCCCTCCTATAGTCCGACCATTGCAGGTCCAGGCAGAAGGCATACTGTATTTTCCCGGCGGTTTGTGTCTCCTCGACGCCGGTGACTTGGACGTCCAGTAGGGCCAAGTTACACAGAGAAGGACTCCGACATATAGCAGACGCCATTGCCGCGTCCCATAATGCAACGCGCAGGACCGCTACACTTTAGAGAGTAGGCCGTTCCCCCAGTCAGTACGTTCTAACACTGACCACTGAAATCTCTAGCAACAAATGTCTTCAAATATTTCTTAAACTGAATACGCTGGGACAAAAATAAATATACTACAATATGAGGGAAGAGGCATGACTTTTCGAACAGACTCTTTCACCTGGTGACACACGTTGAAAATGTTTACCTCCGATTAAAATAAGAACAGATCCTTTCTCCAAATTTGAAGTGAGCGCCGCTATTTAAGCTATCCGGAACTGGGTAGTCGGACGATCTGTGCAATTTGTGACGGAATGATTCCGTGAGTTGAGGCTGTCATATCCACTCCCACGATTCTGTGCGTGTGTCATACTCCCAGAGGACTCCGGATAAATGACTCACTCGCGCCACCCTGATGACCTCATGATATCGCGAAGGACGCTAACTCAAAACTGATGAGGGGGCTAGCCTCTACTAGGCTTCGGGCCTGCTGGAAAGAGTAGAAATTGGCCATATTTGCCGAGGAAGTTGGTCCGCTAGAGAGTACATTCTGCCGTACCCGTACCCGTACCCGTACCCGTACCCGTACCCGTACCCGTACGGCAAAATGTACTCTCTATAGTGGACCAACTTCCTGGAGAGGTGGTTTTTGACCTTGAAATATATATAATGAAATTTTATTTATTACAACTTTGCCACAAGGACAGGACAGGGGGAACAGGCGGTGCCTTTTCAAGGCCCCCTGTCCAGATAAAAACATACATAAATCTAAAATACAACTAAATTTGAGTCTATGATGTAGGAGGGGAGTTGTCTAACCTTTGTAAGCTAAAGAGAAAGCCTAAAAGTCTGAGGTCTGAGTCTATCATGTATCGCTATTGGCGCCCTTCTATATAAGATGAATGAATACAGCCCGAGGTTTATTCATGAATGGAGACGCGGGAAATGAGAGGAGAGATGCGGGCTCGGGGATCTGTCATTACTGTATATATTTAAAGAAGAATGAAGATAGCCTAAAAGTCTGAGGTTTAAGTCTATGATGCATCGGCGTCCTTCTATAAGATGAATGAACGCAGCCCGAGTTTTATTCATGAATGGGGTAAAGGGAAAAGAAAACCTAGAAGTCTGAGATTTGAGTCTATGATGTAGGAGTCGCGGTTTCCAGCCTTTGTAAACTATATATAAAGAGGAGTGAAAAAAGCCTAAAAGTCTGAGGTCTGAGTCTATGATGTATTGCTATTGGCGTCCTTCTATAAGATGAATGAATACAGCCCGAGGTTTATTCATGAATGGGGACGCGGGAAATGAGAGGAGAGATGCGGGCTCGGGGATCTGTCATTACTATATATATATATATTCAAAGAAGAATGAAGAAAACCTAAAAGTCTGAGGTTTGAGTCTATGATGTACAGACGTCCTTCTATATAAGATGAATGAATACAGCCCGAGGTTTATTCATGAATGGAGACGCGGGAAATGAGAGGAGCGATGCGGGCTCGGGAATCTGTCATTACGGCGGGATCGATAAAATATTCCCTTCACGAGCAGCCGACTCTCCAAGCAGAGGTTTGGGGTTGGGCTGATTCTTGGCGTGCTTTTTTGGCTTTTTATCAGGGTTTCCTTTTTGCACTGGAATTTTTTAAAATAATTTCATATTTCCAGCTTAGGAAACAGTATTATTGTGACAAGTGTGATATTGTTGAGTGGTTTAGTCTATTTTTAGTAAAAATCTTAAGGATTTAGGGTAATAATGATAATAAACATGACATTTGAGAATTAGGACGTATGCACAGTTGATGCAGCTGTTTCTACTTCTCTCAAAGAAAAACTGTAGAGTTATTTCTCTTGGGTCATGAGTGCTAATAGCCTAATGCACAACACAATACCGTAGCTTCATGGTGAGATATATTATCTCATAATTAGAACATTAGAACCTGCGACGTATTGTATCACAGGGCTCTCCTGCGAGTAAAATTCATATGGGAGCTGAAAGAAGAAGGTCTTCATTCCATCATTGTGCCGTTGGAGCATGGCAACTAGTCCCCACCCTTCCTTTGCATGCTGAATAAATAGTAGATATCGGCCTAAAAAGGGGATCTATTTGACCAGAGGAGTTGGCCGGCCATAGATGGTACATTTGCCTGTCCCCTTTTTTGGCCGATTTCTACTATTTATTCAACCCGCAAAGGAGTCTGGTGGGGACTACATAGTAGGTGCCGCCACCGTATAGACGCTTGGGGTAGTCACCAGTATTAGCGCCTCCTAGCGGACAATTCCTAGCACTTCATCCCAAAATACGGTACTGACTCGTTAGTGACTTTACGATCCCCCTTATCCCCCAGCAGCCCTCCCTAGCCTTGACGAGTCTCCCAGCTCTGGTACAGTTGTTGGGGTTAACTTGCGTGTAGACTCCAACAGGTGCTGCAGGTCTGAACAAAGTAGTGCTTAACTCACGACACGACGTAAGAGCAAGGGTTACTCGAAACCTCCCTGTAGATAGGCCAGTATATATCCAAAGCTTTAGATAAACGAAATCATATTATATCCGATTCAACCAACTGATGTACACTCTAGTTTGTACAGGCATATATAGAACTTTAGACATGTACATTATCATGTAAGCCATGCTCCATATATATACATGTACTATTACCTTTTTGAAATAGTATAATGTTATTTTCGATACACAGAGCTTGTAGGTATCACTGTAGACGTAAGAGTAGATGTTAGCTAAATATGTAGTACTGAAAAGTTTGCCATGCATTGTACCAGTTACAATTGTTGTGCAATAAAGATTGACTTGACTTGAATCAGGTACACTTGTGTACTAGACTGGAGGGACGCCGCTACCCGTTTTATCAGTGTTGTGCACATGTTCTTTTCGATACTGAGTCACGAAACACCTCATTTTATAGACTTGTGTGGATGTAGGCCTTGTCTGGTGACCTTTTTCATGCTGGCTTTCCCCCTCCTGTTTCTGCTGAACTTTCTTCCCACAGCAAAGTGTCCTGCCACATTCAATATTTCTTCTCGCCGCCTACATTGATAGAATATGGAAAAGAATGTCGTTTCCGCTGAAATTTGACGTCCCCAAAGTCTAATCTGCAAGCAGATCTTTTGGTGACTACAAAGACAGTATCAAATTGCCCAGGCAGTATCCATTTATCTGGGCTACTGAGGGCTATCTCTAGACGACCAGTAATGCTTTTGCCGCCAGACACCTGCTTGGAAATTACCAAAATTTAAAGTCTGCGACGAAGACTACAGTAGATATATACATTTCTGTAAATCGTAGCCGACTACAAAATTACGTCTATTTGAAGTCCTGGTGAGAGTTTAACTCCGGCTTTCAAAGGTTCACTGAGAGCTTCTCTAATCCTTTAACTGCGAACTGCAGACGTGAGGGGCGGTTTTCTCTGCAGTGTGCGTGTGAATCACAGCTTCGAATTCTGGGTTCTCTTTGATCTTCGCCTTATCTGTACTTGAACTTGAAGCTTACGTAGCTGGAGAAAGACGCACGTCATGCGATGCAGGGGAAGTCCACAAAATCGGATGTTCTTACTAACAAAATTCATCTTGTTACGTGTTCAAACGTTTGATCAAACACAAAGAAGTTCTTTCAACTAGAGCTTTCCACCAGTCACTCTGGTCTTCCTCAGTAGACTGACCCAGTGAAGCTTATCACGTGGCTTCTTTGTGACGTTATCAATGAGTCAAAAGTATCTGGTAAATGATGTCGGCCCCCGTCGTTACGGTTTATGTACCAGAAGAAACTGTGACTTGGTGTCTCTAAAAATGCACGTCTAGCATGTTACTATGCATGTACAAATATGACAAAGGCTTTATTTTCCACAGATGGACTATATAATGTTATAAAACAACTTGGTGCATGGTATAGAATATTAACATGGGTGAACGGCGTGTTGCTGATAATTGTTTTCTTCATACGTGTACATATGGTGCCATACATTTGCGTTTGGTGAAGCGCTATCTAACGGCAGTGCTTAAAATTGCAACGACATACAAAGAGCTAGAAACTTGACTCTTCATAGCTCATCTCTGTACCACGGAACATAATTTTCCATCTTGATCCCGTAAACTGTTTTCAACCTGTTGGCTATGGCGCGCGACTTGGTCACATCCAGCGCAAACGTCGAGAAAAACGTTTGTAACAGCTTAGACTTCTCTTGGGCGAACTTGTCAGACGTCATGACCGAGTCGTAGAACTGGCAGTTGACCTTGACCGCTTGTTCCCAGCTCATCGGGGTCCAGCGGAGATACTCCTCCGCCTTGGTGATGGACAACGGGCCCTTCCACACTGTCGGGTACAGGTACCTGGTCATAAAGGAAAAAGAAAATTCTTTGAAATCTTTATTGTGGCTACCCCATCGCAGAGTCTGAATAGGGTAGGTACTCGTATTTACAATCAATGTTGTTAACGTAGCGAGTCGTTCTTAAACACAAGACAACATCAATGTATCTTAATAAGAATACTGACATAAGAATAGAAAATTACAATCATTGGAATCAAAGAATGTAAAAGACATTCTCCCACGGCAGAGCTATCCTGTGGCAAATACTAGTACATAAAGCTACTTATGCCAGGGAAGCACCTCTGCCTTGGGAGAAACCAACGAACGGAAAATCTTAAGAAAGTAAAATAAAATGTACATTTCCCTGTCAGGGTTGTGGTTGAAGTTCACGTTGAGTACTCCCATCTGCCTCCCCATGTCTCTCAGAACCTTTCTCAAGGTCAGGGTTTCTCTGAAGGCCAGGTTGAAGGCCTGGTTGTGAACTTTGACCCCTCCGTCAATCACATCCAAGATGGCGGTGGCGACGTCCTCAACTTGGACAAGACTGATGTCCAGATTGGCAACTCTTCAGAAAAAGTAAAACGCAATTAAAACTAAGTAGCGTCTGTGTCAAATCTCAATACAAAGATGTGACAACAATATATTGTAAAACTAGAAAGGTAACATTTGCAAAGCAAATGCATAATTCTTACTCAAACATATTCATATATATGGTCAGACAGGTGTCTAAATCCCTACTGCTATAAAATTGCAACATGATGTAACCCAACATGATGTAACCCAACAGTGAACCTAACGTCAACACTAGTTACCATGGTGACAGACGTCTGGTTCAGGTCACAGATCATTGGCCTTATTGGTTAGGAGAAGAAGAAGAAGAAGAGACGGAGCAAAAACAATTTGTTTTCTTTCGGTTAACATAATTATAAATCTATTTGGGCGATAATCTTAATCATGAAAAGTGCAGAAGATCTGTACTGACTTAGGCGGCAGGTGGACGGGCACGATGTCGTGTAGGCGGACCCACAGCTGATACAGCCACCACCGCCGGGTCCCGTCACGTGACCCCACCACGTCAGGGATGCGCAGGAACACCCATGGGAGACCTTTGGTCCCCCGTAACACCTCCTCAGCTTCTAACTTCCTGGAGGGATTTATTGCAGCGTTTAGAGATGCGGAGTCTTCAATGTACCTTCGTTTATGCGCACGTCTGGTGGTTCATATTCATAACGGCCGGCTTCTGATTACCGCTGACGTCATGTTTCACTACGGTCACGTGTCAGCGGTACGTGGGTCAGTTTTTCTGCTGAAGGTCGAAACAAAAATTTTCAGTGTATTTAATTAGCCTTATTGATTGATTTATACGGCTGGCCACCCGGCGCCCAACATGCAACCGGCCCCCTTAAAGCCGCGGACGGCAGAGTTTGCGTTACACAGACTAATATTTAATAAGGGTTGAAAAGAACGTTCAACTCATGATAGCTGAGTTACCTGTTTCCGTAGTCGTCCAGACGGTTGAGCCGGAACTGCTCGGCCGTGTTGGCGGGCCGCTGGTCGTCCGTCTCCAGGGTGGGTCCGGGGTGGTCCTTGGTGCAGACCTCGTACACGGAGTCCGTACTGATGTACACGTACAGACCCGCCCGAACGCCCAGCAAACCGATACCTGTGACGGGCAGCATAGTTTCTTACTCCCGAGTCCTAACGAGGCAATTTTAGCCTTCTTTGCAGACTCCTGAGGCGGCTGCGTTATTTTCGGCGAGCGACGCGAGATATGCCGCTGAGGGACGGTTTTGCCACCGAGGGACTTAGTTAGGCGGCGAAACCGTCTCTCCTCGGCAAAGTCCCTCGGTGGCAAAACCTTCGAATTCCCTCTGCAGCATACTACATGTAGTATCTCTCGTCGTTCCCCGAGAAAAATCAAAGCCGCCACCTCAGAAGTCTGCAGATCTGCGAAGGAGACTAGACTCTACTAAGTTCAATCAATCACTTTTACTGTGTCGTTGTCAATTTTATCTTTATTTTCATTGTCATTGTCACTGTCTACGCAAGAGAGAAAGAATGAGAGAGAGAGAGAGAGAGAGTAAAGGAGAAGAAGAACCCCACTTTGTCTCATCTGATCCCCGCTGTAGCAGCTGAAGTCAATGACGGCGTCGAACCGCACCCCAGGCTCCCTGACCGCCGATATCAGGTCTTGGCAGGTCCCCACACCCTTCTGCCTGTCGCACACAATCTGCCTCACGTGCGGCTTTACTCTGGTCGCAGAGTCCCAGTACCAATTCCCTCGGCTCACGACGGTCACGTCGTTCTTGCCTTGCTGTATGAGTTTCTCTACCGTCGCTGCGCCTATGAAACCGTTTCCGCCGAAGACAAGTATTCTTCTCCTTGCGTTGTCTGTTCCTCCACCTCTCGCCAGCGCTGCTGCCAGCATCAGTACCAGGCTGGACCACGGCATGGTGCTGCAGCGCCCTCTAGGAAAATATGTGAGAAGTGCAGGTAGCAGAGGTTCGAGTGATTGAACTTGAAGTGACAGTCTGTCGCGTCTCTTGCTATGCAAGCTATTCTGAGCATTTTACATCAAGTTGTTCTGATTAAAATCTGCCAAAATGAAGCTGAACTAGACTGAATTTCAGGCTATACATACAAACTACCCTTACACAAGCTTTGCACACTGACTGGTGGATCTGGTTTCCATAATGAAATTTGCATGATCCCCTAGTGTAAATAAAGACCAGCTGTGGGCCCAACAGACTGAAGTGATGACCGATTTCCTTGTCACGCTGGCATTGTAAGAAACAGGAGGAGCCAGTAAAAACCCCACTAGTCCCGGGCCGGGGTTCGAACCCACGACCAAACCCGGGCACCAATCCACAGGCAGACACTCTAACCTCTCCGCTAAAAGGTCTAGACCCATTTGCCGGATCTGTTGGTAGCGCCTATAAACCCCCCACTGTTACACTACTCCCCCTTTTCTTATCAAGATTCGTCCTCGAATCTTCCGAATTCGACATCCCTGGAGCGGCACTCTTTGCCAGAACTCCCAGGGCCGGTGTGGGAACCACTGTAAGAAACAGGAGGAGCCAGTAAAAACCCCACTAGTCCCGGGCCGGGGTTCGAACCCACGACCAAACCCGGGCACCAATCCACAGGCAGACACTCTAACCTCTCCGCTAAAAGGTCTAGACCCATTTGCCGGATCTGTTGGTAGCGCCTATAAACCCCCCACTGTTACAGCATGACTGCCAAACGGTCGAGTGACCCATGGCCATGTGGTCGATCTCTATAATACTGTATCCCTTTATGTACCTTCCTCAACCACTCATGGTGTTTACGTATGAACTTGATCACTTATAGACAGATCATCAAGGAGGTTAGAGGTCCCCCTAAAACCTAAAACCCCTTGGCTGCTGTCGGGCACAAAGCCAAACTCAAAAAACAACTTGTTTCTTCAAACCTACCTTAGCACGACTACTTTCTGGTGGTTGCGATCGAATTATTAGGGGGCACGTACGAGGAATCGTTGAGGCAATACGGTCCGCTGCTGCTAGTTGTCAACTTCCAAAACTGTGCCCTTTCACCTTTTCAACCTTATGGACACCCCTGTGTAATGAGTGGTCTCGTCCAGATTACGGTTTATGCCGAACGAGTTTCGGCCTTTTACGGAAACATCCGAAACTTTCCGAGGTGAGATTCGGCAATTTCCGCCAGTGCGTTATCGCATTGACCAATCACCGCGCAGCCTCGTTTTGACCGCGGCTTCTGATTGGACAGATTCTGCGCGAGGCAGGCTTGAATACTAGAGACGCCATTTTGGTGTGGTCAGTTAGACGCTGAAATTTTCTCTCAAGTTTTGCGAAGCTAGGCGCTGAAATTCTTGCCAGATTTTCGTACAACAGGATAGCGCAATGAGCCAGGACGTGGAAGGAGCTACGAAATGGGATTTTAACTGCCCACAGTTTGTAGATTTCTCCGAGCCGCAGACGTTGGACGACAACGCAGACGAGTGGTTTGGTGAGTAGCTCGGGGCTGTTGTTGCAAATTGTTGACTGTTTTACATGGACATAAATCGATAAAAACACTGTTTTCTGTGCATAAAGCGAACAATTGTCCACAAAGGATTAAGTTAAGTACTGCTTTTGTGTAGAAAACGATGCATTTTGAAGCCACAGAGCCCTGAAATCGGGTACTACAACAAGACTCTCCCTACACAAAAATGGCGGAAACATAATTTGAACTCTAGTTTTTGCACTCCACTTTGTTGCCCATTTTTCAGAGAATCAGACCAAATATTTCTATCTAGAAAGTTACCCCTGATGTGGATTGTAGATATTTATATCCCCAAATTATGTAGTATTTGTTGCATAGCTTCGTAAAACGGTCTTCCCGCTTCCCATGTTAAAAAAAAACTACCACAGCGTGCCACTGTGTGATGCAAATTACTGCATGTTTTCACACGTTTGTAAACCGCCAGTTACTGAGTTAGCTGCAAGCATGAGATGTGTGGACCAGGTTTAGCATATAATTCTGATGGAAAATCAAGTGTTTTAGTTTTAAGATTTCAGATTTTCCATCCTTCATTAGTAAATACACAAGTAACAGAAGAGTTTGCAAAATTGTGAAGAGACTAGATTATAATATTTATGAAAATATGAAATTGAAAGTTCCCAAGTTGTCTTTTTTTATTGTCTGACAGAAGTTTGATCAGTTCAGAATTGTTACTTGTAATCTCACATATTTTTGCTCCACTGGCACTGTACATAATTTGGCAGGTACCCCAGAATCCAAACTAATGCTGTTTTTTCTTCTCCAGACTATGACCATGAGAATGATGAAGGCATCCCCCTGGACTCTCCACCGTCTCCCCCAGAAGTTAAAGTTGAGAAGAAAGAAGAACCTTTCCCCATAACCACGGGAACAGAAACCCTACAGAAGATGCAGGAGACGGCCCTGTCTGCTACTGCCTTCCCTGTGGTGAAAGTCGCTCCTTATGTGGAGAAAGAAGAGAAGAAAGACCAACCAGAGTTCCCAGTCAAGGTTTGACTCACTTTCTAAGTTGTCTTTGTGTTATTAAGAACAGAATGATCCTACTACTAGTGATAGTTTGAGTGACTATGAGTGAGTGCAAGAAACTTACGTCACAATAAATGAATTCGCTATCTTCCTATATCTTAGAGGTTCAAAAATATGATTTTGAATCCCAAGTGAATTTCTGTGTGAATGATGATCCACAACATAGTTATTCTTCAAGTCTACATTCAGTCACTTGTTTCTAAATTTACCCCCTTTTTGGTCAAACCAGGAGGAGGCTGTCCCAGAGAAGGTGGACCCAACAGTGGAGGAGACAGAAACGGAGCAGACAGAGCCACCCGTGGAGGTTGTGGTCATGCAGCCTGAGGAAACCCCCATGCAGTTCACCGCAGTCACAGAGGCACCGGTCGATGCAGCAAAGAAACGGCAAAGAAAGGCAAAGACGGAGGCCTCACGAGTGCGGAGATCAGTCCGGAGGAAGAGTTTTGTGAAGGTACGAGGGCCAAGGAATTTATTATCAGTTCAATCTACACCTCAATTTTGCTGGTACACATATATAAAGGTGTTCACAGGGCTCTCCCCAAGCAATGCACCCCCCCCTAAAAAATGTTCAAATTTAGAGTTTTCTCTTAGTATCTCAGCAGAAATTCACTGCTTTTTTATTAACCGATTAGGGGGCGCCTCTCCCCTAAGAATCGCTGAAAAGACCCGGAGGTCAGATGACAGCTTGTCATAAAAGTTCTTTTGTTGTTCATTCTCGTTTTTTAACCATTACTGTTAACACGTATGTCATTCTAGGAGGTGCCAAAGGAGCTTCCCGTAGAACCAGCAAACAAGAAACAGAAGACTGCTGCCAACGAAAGACGGTCTGCCCCGACAGCCGCAGCTCCGAGACCACGGCGACCATCCGGAAAAACACGTCGTTCAGCCGACACCTCCGCAGAGCCTCCAGTGAAGAAAGCCAAGTCCTCGACAGACCCAAAAACGCGGATCAAACTCACCATGCCGAAAACTCCAGAATGCGCAAAGTGAGTTTTCACACACATTTATGTCAACTGTTTTTCATTGTACACAAGTGATATTTTATAGTTGTAGAGTTGAAGCTTTGTTCAAACACAAGAAAGGGACTCGCAGGAATTTTCAGTCAAACAGTGATGTTTCTTTATACTGTTTTAGTATAGTTTTAAGCTTTGTTCTAACTTTCCACCAAGGGACTGTGAGGGTTGCAAAGCAGAACGGATATAGAGTTGAAGTGTTCCATGTTTTTCAGACGTTCCTACAAGCGTCCAGGCGTGGTCAAGAAGACTTCAGAGGATCTTGAGTTAGAGAGGATTGAGCAGATGAGGGAAGAGGCTCGGCGTCAGCACCAGATATCAGAGGTAAATATCATTAGAGAACAACCCTCTGGTCAACATATAACTTGAACATTAATCTTTTCTCTTCAGATTGTTAACATTTATGAAGAAGCAAGGCTAGTTAAGGTAGAAGATCTCTAAACTTGCAAGATCTTGTCTCCAAAACACAGAGCCCATAGCATGGGCTTGAATTGCTCTTTCACATGATTCACTCTACAAGATATCCAGTAACACAGGATGCCTTTGCAATGTGAAAGAACATGTTCTGTATTCCATTTTGTTACTGCTTTTGTTTCAACTATGAATTCAAAGGTACTGCTAATTATATTATTCTCCATGGTACAAAGTTTAAGCACGGAAATTTAGAACAACCAGTGGCTAAGATTGTGCCTTTTTCCTCCAGGAATCTCATAAGCAGACCCAGGCCTCGGCTGGCTACCACGCCACCCGTGCGACCGTCCCGCTGACCAAAGCCCCACGCCTTCCACTTCCACACGGACGAACGCGTCAAAGACCACACCATGGAGACCAGGCAGGACTCCAAGAACAAACGATTCGAAGAGAGTCTGCGAACACACCCGCCCTCCCCAGTGAGTGGTACTGGTAGTAAAACACAGGTGGTCCAGCTTAGCTTGCTTAGATGTTGTCGTTCCCTGACAGTGTCCAAACTATCCTTCCACCCTGTTCTTTCTTATTTGGTTACTGTAATCTAAATATGGTATAAACTCTTACTTACTAACTGCCCCAATGCCAGTGGACCCCGGCATGTAGGGCAGCAACAAAGGTTCTCCAGTTCCCTCTGTCCTGGGCTGTTGTCTGGATGCTAACCCAAGTGTGGCTGAAGCTCTAGTCTAAGATCACTTGGCGCAGGACAGTTGAGAAAGAACTAAAGAGCTTCATATAAACTCTTGGTACATGTATAACTTGTCTATGTGTAAGGGAAACAGAAAACTGTACTATTCACAACTCTCCCCCTAAAAGTGCTGTTAATGTGTTTTGTTTCACTTGCCTGCAAATGTTTTCAAAATTTGCGTGGTAGATTTTGTTACTGCACTCTTGTAAATCTTTTTAAGACAGCCATTAGTTAGCCTGTTATGATATGTTTTGTAACTTCTGTGGTATGTACCAGGATAAATTAATTCCAACGCAGCATGACCGGCTTTTATCTAATCCTGTATGAACTTTTGTCCATTTTGTCTTGTTTCAGGCAAAATGTAACAAGGTGACGAAGCCGAAGCCTTTCAAGTTCACAAACGAGTCCAGGAAGAGGAAACTTCACGAAGTGGACAACTCAGGGTACAACAAGTGGCACTCTGTGTCCGAGCAGGTCATCAACTTCCACAAGAAAACACCCGACCGCTTCCGCCGTAAGGCTAAGATGGACCTCAACGCAACCAGGGGTTAGCTTTACTGCTTTTCTATTGTAGGGCTCAAAATACTCGTGGATAATATGCACCTTAGTGCAGGTAAAATTGGGGCTGTGCAGATATTTCTGATGTCTACCTGCACCAGTCAGTGTTCTGGATGTGGATATATGTGGGTTTTTATTTGCTGTTTTGATTGTAAACACATGTGAAGTAGCGTTTGAGCAGTGTTTAGTATGATCCATACATCTTAGTCATATTACGCAGGTAAAATTTGTCTGGCACAGGTAATTCTCAATGTTACCTGCACCAGTGCAGGTGTGCAGAAAAAGTTTTTCGAGCCCAGCATTGTTTCTTGCTTCTTTGACTTCACAAAAATCCACTATTGTGTGGTTTAGACCTATATTTCTTTGGAAACTGACAGTTTTCCTGTGAAACTTGCAGCAGGACCTGTTGTCGGTGACCACAAGATGAAGCTGACTCATCCCCAGAGTCCAAACTTCTCCAAGGCACGCGCCCGCAACCGCTCGGCTCACGTGAAGAGCGCCGCAGAGATCGAAGAGGAAGAGGTGGAAGAGATGAAGAAGTAAGGAATAATTTTCTCTTCCTGTTCATGGTTTATATGGAAGTTCATCTGTCTGTGGACTAAAGAACTCTCAAAGTTGAGGATTCACAAGAGTAATAGTAATTCACCTGAGTTTGATAGACACATTTAAAGGGTTCCTGTTCAATGATGGTAAAAATACTAAAATACAAAGGAGAGGGGTAAACTATTATTTGGTTACACTCTTCTTGAAAAGCAAAGGAATGCACACTTCACTTTTTTATGCATATGCTTGCCCAAACCTATCGATTCTAGTACTAGTTATTCTTGAATCTTTGTAGGAATCTCACAAGATGAATTCTCCACCATGTAATTGACGAATTTGTTTTATATCGTTTCCCAGGTACAAGTTCAAGGCCAGGGAGGTTGACCAGCGACTGTTCCAGCAGACAGGAGTCGGGGTGCCGAAGAAGCCACACAAACCTGTCACCCAGCCTATAGGCATGGACCTGGAGACAGACCGCAGGATACAGGTACTGGGCAGGGAGAATTCCAGTACAATTTCAGGGTAGCAAACCTGGAAATATTTTGATTTTAACTTCATCAAAATCAATGAACATAGCAGGAGTACAAGTACTCTTGAATTGCGTCGATGTTACATGTTACAAGAAGAAACACACCAATTACACACATACGGATACACGAATAGGACATGGAACGCACAAAAAAAACACTATGCCTGCATTTGACTATTGTACAGTTTGATGGTGTAATGGAGGAACCAATTATACCAATATTGTGGATGAGAAGATTTGACTGATATTGAAGATGTACTTATGAAGATATTTTCCATTCCTAGGAGAGACATGAGGAAGCAAAGTCCACTGAGAATGAAGAGAAATTTGAGTTCCACGCCAGGCCAGTTCCTGCCAAAATCCTGGAGGGACCAGTGGTGAGTAGCTCTGACTGGTTGTTTTTTCAGACACTTGTATGTCAGAGAAGCCAGGTTCTCACATTGCAATAGATATTTTGTTGTTTCTCTTGACATCTGACAAAATGTATGTTTTGTTCCCTGGGTTTATCTAAAACCTACAAATGTAGTTTTACATAATTTGTTGGCATGTTTGTTTGTTTCCCAGGGAGTAGCTGAGAAGAAGGTGGCCCCTCTCACCATCCCAGAGTCTCCAGCTTTCGCCCTGAAGAACAGAGTCCGCAGTGTCAAACCAGAGCTCGAACAGGTAAGGATGATTTTGTCCCAGTCAAGATCCTCATTTTAGGAGCATTATTTTGTCTACATGCACATATCCTGCACTGGTCTTACTGGGATTATATATACTTGTCGGTGTATGTGGATTTTTGATAACTCCACTGACTGTTACCACTATGAAGTCTGAGAGAAATAAAGACTATGGTTTCTGAACAGTTTTTCGTATGATCCATACCTCTTAAATTCTGAGTGGTGGAGGTAAAATTGTCTGGTGCAGATAACTTTCAATGTTACGTGTACCAGTGCAGATATGCAGGAAAAAGTATATTGAGCCCTGTACACAGAAAAGAGTATTTCTAGTCCTACAAACGTAATCAGGTTAAATTACTGCATCTCTTTTGCACTTTTATCTCATAAATAATGCTGAATTACGTTTCTTTCACAGGAGGAAGAAGAGAGAATCATCTATGCCCGTCCCATGCCTCACACGGGCGTCCCCTTCAAACCCAACCGGGAACACAAGGTGACCCAGCTGGCTCCCTTCTCCTTCCAGGACAGGGTGGAGGAACAGCTGGTCAAGAAGGAGGAGAAGATTCAGCAGATCATCCAGGAGGAGGCCAAGGTAAGGAACTTCAATGGAAAGTTGAAGTACATTGTGCTTGCCAACATATGCCATAGAATTGCTATGTATGTCTCGGAAGACGAGTGAGTGAGTTATTGCCGTCAGTTAGAATGCCAAACTTCATTTAAAGCGCAAGTTGTCAGTGATAAAAATTTACCAATAGCTTTATGGCTTATCGCCCTGGGGAATCATTCAACAAATAGTCAAACCTTTACAAGACCATCTCTGCATAGGGACTACTGATCATTCTGGCCACTTTTTGGCCACCTGTCTACTGTAGTCCCCTGAGTGCTGCAATCACAAGTTGTTGGATAAAGTACTGATACTATAGTGGCTAAGCCTCATCTTATCTGTTGTTGGATGTTTTTCCCACCAGGTTGCCAGCTCGTTCCGAGCTCAGAACTTGCCTGTGACGCTCCACGAGCCCGGAAACCTTCCCGACGTTCCCAAGAAGGCGCCCACGAACCCTGAACCTTTCCAACTGAGCTGTGACGACAAGGGCGCCAAGAAGGCTGCAGAGTGGAGCAAGAAGGTGATTAAACTTATCACTTTTATGTGAAGAGTCACAGTGTTAGTTACTTCTTTTTCCTGGATTATTGGCTTGCAAGTTAACTGTATTGTCTGTAAAATATATTAAAGGTATGATAGTAGATCACATTGTTTTGTTATCGCCTTTGTAGTATGGACTCAACATCGTGAGAATTCAATGGGCAAGATTAACTGAAGATTCAAGCTTTTCAGAGATAAATACATTAATGTATTTATGATACGAATAGGCAGTTGTTATGAAAGGGACCTTATATCTTCTGCCAGCTGAGGTAGTCCTTTTGGCACCCGGTTTATGCCAATCTTTCATGGGTAGTATGGAGATATTTAAATGAAGGTACTGGTTGTTGTTTATTGTTTATTTATTTGTTGTGTTGTTTATAACCAGATGGAAGAAGAGCTGAAGCAGCAGAGAGAGCAGGCCAGCAGCTTCAAACACAGATCAGCTGATGTCCTGTACAAGGAACCTTTCATCCCACAGAAGGCCACCAAGCCACTCACAGGTTAGTTCTGATGCTCTAATAGAGGCCTTTGTGTGGAATCTCTCAAGATCTTGCTTCAGACATTGCGTGATATTACTTTCCTTGTATCCTTGTCTTCTTTTTAAGCACAGGATTACTCAAAGGAATTTTCTTTTGTTTTTCCAATTGCTCCTAGCCTAATTAGGAAGTGATAAAGTTAGGCCCCATCTCAGCTACCTTTCAAAATGCAGTGCTTTGAATATCTCCTGTGAAGATTATAGTTTAAAATAATATGAGAATCCTAGTAAGTGTACTATACAGCATGGCACAACACTGATACTCTACAGTCAGTTAAATTGAAACAGGTATATTGTTCCTGCCCTACTGAAGTGCAATTGTGACTCAAGAGTTGTCAAATTGTAGCTTTCCTTTTGCATTAGCATCTGTAAGTCTGTATTTTCCCTTCAAAACCTGAACATTTCATGCTGATATCCCTGCAGATGTGAGTGAGTTTGACCTGAACACGGTGCGCCGTGCGGAGCAGCGGCAGGAGTTTGAGATGCAGAAGAAGATGAAGGAGGAGGAGATGGAGGCTCAGCGCCAGCAGCAGGAGGCCGAGCGGAGGGAGCAGGAGCAGATCGAGATCGCCAGACTCCGCAAGGAGCTCGTCCACAAGGCCAACCCCATCCGCCACGGCCGCCCGCTCGACATCCAGCCCAGCAACAAGCCGCTCACCAACCCACAGACGCCAAACTTCTCCGACAGGAGAAGGAAGACCAGCGTGCGGTTGTAGTACTGACTGAGGTTGTAGTAGTAGTGACTGGATCAATTTTTTTTGCTCTGCTGTTTATCTGTACAGTTTGTGTTCTTCAAGTTATAGCCTGGTTACCAGTACTATTATAGGTCACAAGTCCCACATCCTCTCCGCAATGTAGGACTCCGGAGCTGTAATAGGTCTGGTAACCAGGCTATCAAGTTATGCAGAGGGATTTTTTTTAAACCTCCCTAGAGCCTTGCCCTGTAGCGGCTTTATCAGTAGGGAGTATAGATAAGTTTTTTTTTTTGCAATCTTGAAATTTTAGTAACACTCACTAGTCACTATGATTGATTTTTATGTATTTTTTAAACTCAAGTATTTTTAGGAAAGTCTTTGTAGGAATGAAATAAATAAGGAAATAAATGATAAGGGTTTGTTTTTGTTTTTCTACACTGTCCAATTTCTTCCTGTGAATTTTAAGTGTCCCGTGTATGTAGATTATTCGTACTATAGGGTGGTAACATTTCTTGACTTTGCTGTCCACTATGTAGAATTTGAAATGTGAAGAGATTGCTTCATAGAATCTTAGGTAAGAACTGTTTCAAGGCCCAGACCTTTGTTTATACCGTACTGTTGTTTCCCTTGTTAATAAAGTTGAGTATAATACAAATGTAGTATTACAAATATACTGTGTCTGACTCAGTGCTTTCCTGTAAGTTTATTACATGTTGAAGTACTAGTACTATATACATAGATGGATGGATTGAGAGGGCATACCCACACTTTACACGCTGTCACTACAACTCTGGTGCAAAAAGTATAGTAGATTTGATTCAATTATTTGATCAAACTGAAGTAACCACTTATTGACACATGCCAAGGGGAAGGTTGAATGGGATAAATACTTCATAAAGTTAATAACCACACAACACTGAGGGGATAGTATTATAACCATTTAATTTTGTACATTTGCAGCCTTTCTTTCATTATTTTTCCTACTTTGTTTTAAGTACAACAGACTGCCAAAAGACACTGTGATGTTCAAGGTACGGGTTACGCTCTTAGTAATGACTAAAGTACATTATATACACTGTACAAAACAAAACAAGCCTTTCCAATGCTTGAGTATAATATGCAGACAAGACTTAGCACTTTGAGTAATGAGTACATCAACTTCAATTTACATTTGTGAAGTATTATACATGTTTCAAAAACATGCAATCACATCGCTTAGTATTTTCACATTCATCTAACATTTAGGTTAGCTTAGATGAGACAAAAATTAAAACATTCGTAATTGCAAAGTTGGAAGGAAAACACTTTGAATTCATACAGTAAGTTGGTGATGAAATAATGCTCATTCAAATCAGCAAGGAATCAAAGTACAGAACTCAGGTTCTACCAGAAGAGAAGGAGTCAAGTTTTCAGCTGTGCAACTTCAGAATCCCAGAGATGGAATGATCTGGTTTCTGTACATGACTACGGCTTGTTTTATTGACTGTGGACATGTGACTTGAGTACCCAGTCAAAACATAATGTGCTGCACTAAATCCGTGGTAGTAGAAATGTACTTAGTATTGCCAAGCTTTTTACAAATTAAAAAAAAAAAAAGTCACATTTCATGATCTGGCCTCCATTGACAAGCCAAACTTTCCTGTACAAGTATCACACTTTCCCTTTCAAATTTCCAGATACTATTTATCGTATTTACCTCGTATCCAGTGTGCTACTCTGATCACCTTTCTGCTGAATAGTACCCATATGTCATTAACATGTCAGGGATGAGAGATCGTTGACAAGCAGTGTTCCTGGGATCAAACTTATGAATCTGATTGCCTCTTTGATCTGTGCAATACAGAGGATCACACAACTTGGAGCCCATCTGAGCTCTTGCCTATATTGTAAGTGCGTATTCAAATCAAATGGAAAACAACCTTCCCTTAATGACAGCAAGAATATTTGGCAAACCAGAGCTAGATTGATACAGGGCTTCTGTATTTTACTCCGGTGGGCCCCATACAGGGCTTGTGTATATTACTCGGGTGGACCCCATATGTCTGAGCCTCTCCTGACCCACAGCACCTTCCCCCTGGCCCGTATGTGTGTCTCACCGGCAGGTAACTGTCATGTGTTGGCAGGACGCGGCTTCAGAATCAGCTTACCGGTCTGGAACATCAAAAAACATGCGGTAAACATGTGATTACATCAGTTACACCACTGACAATGGGCAGTGGCTACTGGCAATCTCCAAGCAGATGCTGGTGTAGAAAGTTTTCTGACAAGCTGGCTGTTTTACTTGGAGATAAGATACTGTCCAAAACTTGGCAGAAAGCTCTAGTTTTTTTATACAGTACAGTAGTAGTGTGTATTGGTATTGGTAAATATATGTGTACTAGTAAATACATGTACTAAGTGTAATGTATCTGAATGTTTGACATTCAACAACAAATCAAGAAGGAGTTGCTACTGATCAAACTATATGATATATCTGCACATGCTAAAAAAATTCATGACATAGAAATTCCATGTTTATGTTCAATGCAGCACACTTACATCATCACATGACATATTGTAGTCAGCTAGAACTGTTCGACATCTTTGTGCTATTCTGGGAAAAAGGGTCAAGGTCAATATTGCAATCTTAACACTAATTTCTAACATTTTTATTACACTTCTTTTCTTGTTAGCTGTGCCTGACTTTCCTATTACATTTATGTAGAATATGTTAATGACAGCTATATTTTTTAAAGCAATTAACCCTGAATGCTGTTCTGTAGTCACGTTATGCGTGTGTTGCAGTACACATTCTGTTGTTTTTAAGAATGGAATCTAGAAACAGCAGATTAGCTTTATTGCAGTACATGTGCAGTACATTGTGTGGTATCCAATCAAACATCAAGAGGATACATGGATGGAGCAACGACTCTCTTGTGTATCCCTGCCAGGAACAGGCCGACCAGCACCACGCAACTCAGGGTGAAGAACGGATGGTTCCACAGAGACTGCAGGAAAGACACCTACATGACATGATAATAACATCAAGGCACAAGACTCAATCATCAGGGATGGATATACTCACCTGCTACCTTAGCATACTAGTAGTTCTCACCAGGCTGTTTGTGTGATTTGGACCCCCTATGCTGTGATTTAGCTGTTTCAGCCAGCGTAGGGGGGGGAGGAGTTCAGAATGAAGCTATAGCAAAGGGAAAACAAAAACTGTCCCTCAATAAGCAAGAAACAGTGCCTCAGGGGGTTATGAGTTACAAAATTTTGTGGGGAAAACATCATACCCCCTGCTGTGGTCATGTTTTGGGGATTCAATGCACGACTTGCGCTGCAAAAGTTGCCCTTCTGTACCTGACCCCTACGCTGTGAAAAAATCCTGGTGAGAACCCTGCTTAGCCAGGGTGCCATCCTAGCTAGTGATATTAGGGAGCGAGCAGAAACTACGGAGGATGGCACCCAGGCTACTGCTACCTACCCTCTACCAGGCTTCGGGAGGCGGCTGGAAAGAGTACAAAATCGGCCAAATAGAGAGATAAGATGGGGAGTTGGTCTGCTGAAGAGAACAGTTTGCTGCTCGGGAGCGATTTCTACTCTTCCCAGCCGCCTCCCGAAGCCTGGTGGAGGCTAACTGCTGCTACCTGCCATACAGTGATACTCAGGGAAAAATTTAGTCTTGGACTCTTGGTGATATGAATCTCAATATAGGTATGAATAATCACACAAAAGTATCTGAGAAACCATGCTTCAATTACCGCATGCATGCTTCTTTACATGCAAACATGCACTAATAATATAAAAATATTTTATTAATAACATAGTATGTTTAGCAGAATAATCTAAACCAGGATAGTGAGTGATAGTATGTTTATATACAAATACTAAATATCATTTAGATGTGACCGACCATTCCAGCTGTAGGGGAGTTGAGGGTTTGAATAGTTACCTGAGAAGTCCGTGGGTCCAGGAGCCAGCCCCAGGCACCCGTAGCCGTACACACAGACACCACAATCAGGATAACTGACAAAGTCAGAGAGGAACAAATTATGACTAGCCTGGGCGCACAGCACAATGCACTAGGCTCCAAGTTAACTAGTATTGAAGATTCAAATATACAGCTGGGAGGTCTTAACCAATCATAGCAGTGGTGTAAAATTGCTTCCTGCTGCTCTATTGGTAAGCTGAGCGTTGAAGTGACAAGTCTATCTGATCACACCAGAACCCTGCACACTGGATGATTTTGAGCCCAGTGAGCTCACAACTTTCTATAAGTCTTTTTAACCCCGCTACAAAATGCAAAATACTTTGATTGAGGCTTCCTAGAAGTTTGAAGTTGTTGTAGGTATACTCACTTCTACATCTTCCAGTGGATGGACCCAGAGATGCAACATACTCCATCAACCTTCTCTCGAACGCTTTCAGGTCTGAAAATTTATTGACAACCAGTGATGATAAATTTCTGACTGACTTCATATAGCTGCAGGTACCAGCTGCTTTAGGCCCAAAAAATCGGGTTTACCTAACAAAATGAAAGTCAGAGAAAACTGCAGATTTGACAGACTTCGAGTTGGCAATCCAATGCAAAACTCTCCATTGGAAAACAAAGCCTACGTGTCTCTTGGAAAGAAATACCTTCAGTTTGTTCCAGGGAATTCAGTGGATATGCCTGAGGTCCGGCCATCTTGCTTCCTGTTTTGGGGTCACGGAGGTCAATTTTCTCTCATTAACATATTGATCTGTAACGGCCTTGACGATTGGTTTGATTTCCCGCGGAATGTATATGTGCACCAATCAGAGATAGCGTATTAGAGGAGTTGGGTTCGTTTGTCCCACAATACCCTTCGAGTACAAGCGTGGCTCGTCCGCTCCGATTTTGCCGGTGAGTTTGGTATGCTTTTGAGACATTTCTGCCAAGAAAGATATTTTATTCCACGAAAAAAGCAACCCAGAGGTACCAGAACGCTGCTAGGCTGATTTTTCCGGGTGTCTGGAGTTTCTAGGCGTGTTTATTTTGCACAGAAATATTGTACCGAGCGGGACAAAGAACCTTTTTTGCCTTGGAATACTTGAGTCAAGATGGCTGCCCAAGTTTGGGTCACGGCCGAAAATTTTTGTTGATGTTTGACACTCGTTTCGCTCAGGAAAGGAGGATTTTGTTTCAACAGACGGCTATTTTGGAGACATTTTGGACGACGCAGATTTTTTAATGTTCTGGGCGCTGCACGTTTTTTTATGTACGATGCGATTTGACAACCTTTGACAACATGTGAACCTTGCTTTCTGTTTCCAATTTTTTTAGACCCCAGCTCGAACTTTTCCATAAATTTTGGGTCGTGTGGTTTTTCTGAAAATGATACCTACGTCCTGAGAGCCTCTGGGAGTGTGTGTTTGTCCTTTTGTCTGTATACAGTGTGTACTAAACTTCTCATGTCTCTGTGCAGCAGAAATATTCTAGTTTTGTTTAGTAGGTGGTTGTGGGGATAATTTGGTCCAAATACTAGACTAGTAGTAGATATGATGAACATAGATATGATGAAATTTGTTACAGGTATAGTGAACATACTAGGAATGAATTTCAACTGCGGGGCTTAAAGTGCCAAGTTGAAAATTTGTGGATTGCAGTAAAAGTAACATACACTTTTCCATGACAAAGAAGAAATTCATGTACAAATGTACTACTATCACAAAAAAAAGTTAAAGCAAAGTTGCAGCAAATTTATGTAATGATAATGCCTTGGTCATAATTTCTGAAGAATTGTTGTTTGAAATTCTTGTCATTGTCTCCAGTAAAATGTACTTGTAGAGTCTCAATTCACATCATGTTTTTGTTATGTTAATCAATTCTATGTACCAGATGTATGATCATGATAATCTTCTGGGCCGTTCTCACTCTCAGACAAAGAAGGTTGTGATAAACTGCACAGGTACTGAAGAAAGGTTTCCAAATTTAGCTTGGGCAAGTCTTTGTTTCCGTATTTGCATAGAAGATATGACTACTAGTAATTTCAAGAAAAGTTATCAAAAGTCTGTAGGAAGCTAGTGGTGTATTGCGCTGCTTGTTTTTCTAGTGTCTGCTCAGCGTTCACTGCCTTTTGGAGTTGGCACAAGCTGGTAGATTCTGGCCGTTAATTTGTGTAGATTTTGGCGGTTACTTTGTTTAGACTAGAGAATTTGACTGTCTGCTGCACAGGGTTGGGAAGTTGTTAGAGTTTGGGAAGATCTCCTCTAGATCTCTCCACCCTTTTCCAACCCCCTAAGGAGTGGTCTCTCTTGTGCAGAATTTTGTGCTTTTCGAGCCCGAGCCAAAATGAGCAAGGACGGTGCCAAACGAGAGGACTCCAAGGAGCGAGATCGGGATGACCGCGATCGGCGCCGGCCGATGGTCAGCAGTGACACGAACGACCCTAGGTCGATTAACGCCCGAGTGTTCATAGGTAACCTACCTACCGACAGGTTGACCAGACAAGAACTGGAAGGCCAGTTTTCCAAGTATGGACACATCACAGGTAAGTTTTGGCCTTGGTTTGTCGGTAGGTTTATAATCTGTAATTGTCCTTACAAAGTTTCTATGTCTTTTAACAACAACAGCTACAGAAGATAGGCCTTATGTAGTACAGTTTACAGACAATAGTAGGAGCTAAACAAAGTCAAAGGCTTTTAAAAGTGAAACGTTTGTATTGTTTTGTACCAAACAACATAAAAGTTTTTCATATTTTGAAAACACTCATTAAGTCATTTAATGCAATGCCAATAGACAAAATTATATCGTTTGATATTTCATCCTTGCAATTTTACTTTCTTTTACAATGATTTAATAATATTGTAATTTGCTTGCTTACAAATAAAATGCGCATAACGCCTTGATTCTTCTTGAGAATGTTTTGTGATCATGGAATCAAAGATTTTCCCTTTCCCTGGCTCACTCTCTCTCAGACAGAGGCAAATCATTTACTTTAGTACTTTTTTTAGTAGTACTGTCTTTACTGTAATGTTTTTCCTATAGGTTTTAAAAAGAAATGTGCAATAAACAACTCACCCAATTGTTATACAATCCAATTTGCTATTCACTGGTTTTACATAGCATATTAGCTAACCTTTTTAAGTGCGTACATTGTCTTGAGCCGAGGTAAGATTTTGCTCCTTCATCTTCTAAGTTAAAGACATTTTAGACTGTGTTTTCCCACTCTTGCGCTGCAAGATTTTAAAGTCAAGTCATGCGTCCCTGAAAATTTGATTTCAGTCCCTGTTTTGATTCGTACATTTCACATTTTTGCCTTGCTGCGCTCCACACATCTCGCGTCAACATCTCAGTAATAAAACTTCAGTGATCTGGCACCTCTGGCTTGACTTTGAATGCATATTATGTACAAATCATCTTCTGTAACATTGTAGTGTTTGTAATGGTATTAAAATTGCATACTGGAATAGTGCTGCATACCTAAACCCAATTTTAGGTTCAGGTCCGGATTCAAGCCCATAGGTTTAGGTTCAGCTCCGGACTTGTAAGTCCGGACCTAAACCCATGGCATATACAAAATTGCATGTTGGCAACCTTGCAATGTTGTCTGGGTGAAACATTGGCCAAATAACATGGAGGCCGACACTTGACGATGCCCAATGGCAATGTTTTCTCCATTTTGCAGCAAAGATTTTGCAATCTACGGAAGGCTTTAGGTGGTTTGGAAAGAAAAGGTGTATGTGAAACAGTCTTTTATGGTAATAAGTCCGGACTCGGTTCTTGATTTTTAGGTTTTTTTGGACTTGAACCTAAACATTCCAAGTCCGGTGAACTGGTATGCATCACTATACTGGAATAATGATAACTTTAACGTTTCAAACACATTTCCTGTTGTGTACATATGGTAGTAATATTTGGAATGACAGGTATGTGCAGCTATCTTATCATAGTCTGTCACCCTCTTGACTTTATCCCATAGATAAATACTAGTAACTTTATGTCCTTAGGGTGATCTCAGGTCACAAGATAGCATTTTCCTTTAATCAAATAAATGTTTTATATTGTCTGAACTTAAGGGATATTTGTACTTAAACAGTATCAATGGGAAAGCAAAAAATTAACTTCATTTTTTTTTCCGAAAATTTATTAGTGCCTGGCTCACTTGTGTCGTCTGTGTGAGCCATTTTCTGTTTGAGTGAAGGGTTATGTAATAAGGTTTTCAGGGACCATAAGAAATTTTGGTTTTCCTTTTAAAAGGCTATAAATTTAAACTTATGAGGTAACCCCAAATGCTGCATTGTTCTGCAATGTTGTTTGCTCAGTGATATTTCACAGTTGTCCTGACTGTTTATTTGTGCCCATGTTACAGCATGTTCCCTCCACAAAGGCTTTGGGTTTGTCCAGTTTGCTGAGGAACAAGATGCCAGGGAATCAGTCAAGGGAGAGGCGGGAAAGACTATAAAAGGCTTCAAAGTTGGTGAGTATGATAATGTACTGTAGTACCTTATATATACCTCACATTTTCAAGTAAGGCCATGTTGATTTGATTATATGGATGACATCCGCGCGCGCATGAATTTTCGGCCGTTTCCAAAAAAAAAAAAGTTTTCAACCATACTGTAAATCGCGCAAAACAGTTGCTAAATGAGCAAAAATATACCATAAGTTGCAAGGAAAACATTTAGAAATGATACCAATGTCGTAGAATGCCAAAATCAAAGGAAAAAAGACAAAAATGTAAAGAAATGAATTCGAAGAGTAGATTATTCGTCATAACATATTCTGTGCCATTTGTTCAACCTTCGTGACCACGTAGATTTCATAGTGAAAGCAACTTCTTTTTTGCAAAACTCTTTTTTTATTCGCACGCGCGCATCAGTTTTGAGGTTCCCAGAGGATGTCATCCATATAATCAAATCAACATGGCCTAACTAACAGAGGTCTAACTCACATGTTGAGGTAGACCTCTCAACATAACATCATACAGATTTAAGGCACTGAGATGTAGCAGAGTGGATAATCATCGTAAATAGATTTCTATATGTTGATTACTCTTCCCGAAATATCACCCAACTAGTATAATGATGATGATGCATGTAAATGAAATGCTATATTTTTTATTCAATCTGCACATATCATGTACTAAGCTGCTCCTTTTACTGTCAGGCCTTTCTTTGCAACTTGTTGGCTTTCAGCATTTGGCCAGAAAATCTCTATCAGATCTAAAACCTTACCGCTAAAAGAGTAAAACCAGAAAGATATCTTATTAATCTCTCTCTCTCTCTCTATATATATATATATATAGAGAGAGAGAGATAGATGGATGGATAGATAGATAGATAGATAGATAGATAGATAGATAGATAGATAGATAGATAGATAGATAGAGATACATAGATAGATAGATAGATAGATAGATAGATAGATAGATAGATAGATAGATAGATATAGATACATGGATAGATAGATATAGATACATATATACATACATATAATATATATATATATATATGTGTGTGTGTGTATATTATTAGTGTTATCTTACTTTGTTTGCATTTGCAATTAGCCCTCGGGCATGTATTTGCACTAAACTTTCTTGCCTTTGATGTACGACTGTAGTACCGTATTTACCCGGGATTCTCCATGTATTGATCAGTTGTAATTGCACCTGATGTTGCACACAGACATCAAGATGGCAGCAGAAGGTAGGAGGGAGCGGAGACCTCCCGGAGGAGGTGGCGGCGGGGACCGCGGAGGCCCGGATCGCGGCGGCCCGGAACGTGACAGGGATCGTAGACGGTCGCCACCCAAAGCCAGAGACCCCTATGGAAGGTGCCTGACTGTCCCTGTTAGCTACTCTTCAAGTAGAGGTGTGGGTTTTGGGGGTATTTTTAGCGTGTTTTTAGGGTTTTTTTATCGGGGTTTCTCTTTTGCACTAAATCTAAATTTTTTTTCCCACCAAACCCAACCTCTGCTGGCAGTCGAAAGCTTCAATGGGCTATAAACCTAATCACTTCAACACATTTCAGTCGTTCTGCAAGGAGGTGTGACCCAGACGCATGAATAGGCACAGTCAGCAGGAGGCGTGTGGCCCAATGAATGCCTTTCTGACTGGCTGGATGTGTGATGATCCACCACAGTAAAATAGATATCCCTAATGATAATTTGATGGTTCCCGGGGAGGGGCACTGTCACCCTTCTTGAGTAGGTTTGCCCCACCCCGGGGTGAGTGCCGGCAGAGGTTGGGTTTGGTGGGGGAAAAAAAATTAGTGCAAAAGAGAAACCCTGATAAAAAAGCCTAAAAACACGCTAAAAATTCCCCCAAAACCCACACCTCTGCTTGGAGAGTACCTGTTAGCCTGGTTACCAGACCTGTTATAGCTCCCAAGTCCGCAAATAGCAGAGAGGATGTAGGACTCAGGAGCTTCAGTAGGTTTGGTAGCCAGGCCAGTCCCTGTGTCTTATCACAAACTCATCTGACATTTAGCAAGAAAGTTCAGCTGAGTTGCTAATCTAGTAGCCTGGGTGCCAAAATATCTAAAAAAAATATGTATTGTGTGGGAGTGAGTATGGGAGCCCTAGCATACAAGTAGGATGGCACATAGGCTAGTAACTTACATTATGTAGCCATTAAACTTTTTTCCAAATGAAAAAAAAGTCGGACACCAAGCATACATTAGGACTCTATTCAGCTCTAATTTTTTTTTAGTTCTCTCAGTTTGACAATGGCCTTTAGTGGCATGTTTTCATCTTGGACATCGCAGGTTCAAACTTTGTACAGGTTGTGTCAAGTACATACTGCTTTCTCTGCTTAGCATGCAAGGCAGAGCCCTGATAATAACACACATGCATGGACAAAACTCCAAGGCAACAGCATGCTATCATTATAGGAGACCACTCTTTAGGAAGAGGTAACCTGTAGATCTAATTCCAGAGACCCATACGATCCCTACTACGACAGGGGGCCGCCAGGACGCCGCGACAGATCACCGCTTCGGGGGGACGACTACGACGAGCGTTATAGAGACTACTACCGTGGAAGGGACGGAGATCCACTGTTAGAAAGGTCAGTACAACTATCAGGAGAAATGTATTCTGCTTCTGTATCAGTATAGCCAGTATAACCGCCCTTGGTCGTAACACACCAGCTTCGCAGGCAAGCGGTGCGGCGGCAGCTAGCTATATCACACCGAACGATTTGTTACACTCAATCTTTGCACATTTAATTGCAGGAGTTGTTAAAAGCTTTCTAGTGATGATGCCCCAACTGTGCTTGGTGGCAACAAGTTCCAGTCTATGATAGTTCTGGGGAAATACAAGTTTTTGAATACTAGTACCTCAATTCTTGGTTGATAACTCTGATATTTGAAGGCATGACTGTTTCTTGTTCTTTTCTGGGCTGGCAACAGATAATTAGTGGTTGGTACATCCACCAGTTTATTAGTCATTTTAGTCTGTAAGTCTGACAAATGATTTTTCTTAACTATCAGACAGACACTACAGGATGTTGTCTGTCTGTACTTTTATATAAACATCAATTAAGGGGGAACAAAACCATGTCTGTCTGTACTTAGCTTTGTTAGATCTTTAGTTAGGTTGTAGAAGACCATACAAAAGTCTCTGTACTCTTTTGTTGTGTCAATAAAGAATCTCAATCTGTAAACATCATTTAAAGGGGAACAAGAACTGGGGAACAAAACCTGTCATTATAATTTATATCACACATGGTATGTCTAAAAAAAAAGTTAACATCTGTGTCCATGATATCACCAGGCTCCATAATATCGCCACCTTGAGAAACAGTGTGTTAAAGATATTTTTACTGTAACTGTTACATGCTTTTGGTATGAACTCCTTCACACATCAAATGTACATACCTAGGGTATGTTGCAGTAAAGATATCTTTTTAAGCACACTATTTCTCAAGGTGGCGATATTATGAACCCTGGTGATATCAGGGGTCTCCCCAGGAATTTTTTAGGGAGTGGTGCTGGAATTTTTTGGAGGGCACGTAGTGCCCGACGCTTCGCGAAGCGCGGCTGT